AATTTTTTTAATATTTTATGCAAATTTTTTACTTTTTAGACACACCTAACATAAATACACCTAAAAAGTAAAAAAATTGTAAAAAAAATCTTTTAAAAATTCACTAAATACCAAAAATACAAAAAAAATACAAGAATTTAGTACATTTTTTATATTTTTATGTATTTCTTAATTTTTTAAAATATTTTTTCACAAATTTTTTTACTTTTTAGACAAATCTAAGTAAGGTGTATCTAAAAAAATAAAAAAAATGTTTAAAATTTTTAAAATATTCACTAAAAACAAAAAAAATATAAAAATCAAAAAATTCAATTTTCAAAAAATTTAATCCAAAAAACTTAACCTAAACACAATGAAGTGTACTTACGACACGATGCGAAAATGACTCTATCTATTACCAAATGCAGCTATTCTTGCTAATTGTTTTGAGAAAAATGTTTGGGAGCACTAATTAGTGCTCCCACTAATTAGGTGGCAGTGAGTCCCGCCATTAATGATGTGATGTTTTGGTTTTGGAGTTGTATTTTTTTATTTTTTATTTTTACTTTTTTAATGCATTAATGCTATTAGTGGTGATATTTTTAGTGGGATGAATCATTGTTGTTGTTTTGAATACGACACGCCATGCAGGACCTGCCTATGATTTTTATATTGTACGAAAATGGTTTAGTAAGGGTTTGGTAAACTAGAATTTCATGGGTTCTGTCTGATTTGATTTTTAAAATTTATTTTTAAACGAATTTTTGTTTGTTTTTAGGAATTTTTATTATTATTATTTTATATAATTTTAATAAATCAAGATCATATATATCTAAAAAAATAAAATAAAATAAAATAAAAAATTAATTCAAAAATAAAAAAGTGTACTAAAAATAAATAAAAATCGAAACAAAGACCCACACAACTTTTTTATTTTTTAACTTTTTTTACATCCATGGTTTCACCCAAAGGCAAACTCACACAAGTGCTCCAACCCATTGCTATAAGCTACATAATTAAATTATTGAGCATGATTTGTAATGTTAAAATATATTTTACTATTTTTAATAAAATTAATTTTAATTAATTTATAAAAATGGTTATAAAAAAATAATAAATTACAATAAACCCCCTTTAAACTATGTCTCAGTTGCACTTTACCCTCTTGAACTTCAAAATTTAACAGTTAATTAATCCTCTAAAAAATCATCCTATTACAATTAATCATTTTTTGTTTGGATTCTGTTAAAAATTTATAGAAAATCATATTATGTAAAAAGTACATGACACATTTTTATTGACCTTTTCTATAAATTTTTTATTTTCTACAAATTTTTTATTTTTGATAAATTTTTGATTTTTGATTATAAATTATAACAAAATGATAACAAAAGTGATTAACTATAATAAGATAATATTTTGAAGGATTAACTGTTAAGTTTTAAAATTTTTGAAGGGATAAAATGTAAATGGATCATAATTTAAGATGATTTAGAGAAAGTTTGGGAAGACTAAATAAGTGCACTTTTTGATTTTTTTTGTATTATGTGTAGAAAAAGTAAAGAGGAGATGTTGATTGATGTGACTCAAAAAAGATAAAAAGATGAAATAAGTGCATTTTTTTAGGTTAGCTAAACTTGGCCTTACTATAATATAACCCCCCAAAATTAATGCATAGATCAAGTACAGGCGGCCACAATACAATGCGGGCGAAATAACCCAACCCAAAGTTAGTAGAAGGTATTTGGTGGTCTTGAGGTATAGTCATGTGATGCCTAAGACTATTGTTATTAGTAGAAAGGGTGAAATTTTTAATTTTATATTAAGTCATAAAGAAACAATATAAGACATGTTTAATGATTGGTGAAGATCATTGTTAGATAGTGCTCTTGATCACTAAATAAGAATAATATTAAAGATCATAAAAAAAATATCATGAAATGCATCATGAAAGTGCAAGGGTAACGATGGGAAATGAACATTCGGAAAGTAAACACTTCGGTTACTTTTCTATTTGTGGTGTGAGTCTCAAGATATTGAGTCTCAAGATACTGACTAATTTTGTCAAATTTTGCAATTCTGTAAAATATTTTGAATTTAGAGTGAGCAGTGTCTTAATGAAAAAAATAAAAAATAAAAATGAAAAAACAAAAGATAGAAGAAAGAGATAGATCTTGGCCTTTGTGATAAATTTTGCGACATATTCAAGTAACCTGAGAATATCTGGTTGGACCACCTTATTGTGTACTACAGTTTTTGTGCTGACAACAAACATTCACAAATCAATGACTTACATGAATGGATTTGAAAATTTGTGGCTGTGTATGGAAACCTGAGAATATCTGGTTGGACCACCTCATTGTGTACTACAGTTTTTGTGCTGACAACAAACATTCACAAATCAATGATTTACATGAATGGATTTGAAAATTTGTGGCGCTGTGTTTGGAACCATTTCCAAACGTTGATTCTATCTTCATGTTCTAATATGATGTTTGGATAGAGTTTTAAAATTAATTTTTTACAACTTCGCAGAAAACTTTGTGTATGAGCGCGATTTTCAATTTTTTTTAAAAAAAATTTAACCTAACCGGTCGTCCCACTGGTTGACCGGAACAGTACAATTTTTTTTTTGTAATTGACATATTTTAATTTTTATATAATTGAAAAAATATTTTCCGAATTTTTAAAAAAAATTTATGTGTTTTAATAGAATTTTGAGTTGTATGTTTTGTTATGAGTTGTAAGTTTTTATATCAAATATCAAATGTCACATTAAAAATTCTCTACTCAATTCAAAACTTTTTTAAAAACTCTTTTTAAATTTTTTTCACAAAATAAATTTTTCACACTCAAATCATTGTTTGTTGATTGATGTAGAAATGATTGACATCAATTTTGCAAGTGTCAATAAAAATCATATTATATTAAGGAAAACTTATATAAAATATCAAATCACAAGATACGTACCCGAAATTGATCAATGATACTCTAGTAAAATGTTAGGTCTTATTCAGCTGACGAAAGATGCCTCGAATCATTTCTTCTTCTTTTTTTTTTTTTTTATCAACAATGATGACCAGATTCATTATGTGTATTTTAATAAGTAAACTTGTTTTACTATGGATTAAAGGGATAGCTCAATTGATTTATTATTAAGGGTTTTATCTAATTGTTTAATTTTATTTTTATTTTTTTGCAATATGGTGTTATTTCTCGTATTATTGCAATTATCGTTGGATTGGACTTGCCAATAAGCTATGTTATGTTAGACCTATGTTAGACCCTTTTTAAATAGTTGATTGATTGTTTAGCCTTTTTAAATAGTTGAGTGATTGTTTAGTTTAATATAATTTTTTTTGCTATTCGTAAATAATTTCCTACTAATTCACAAACTGGTCATGATACATACCTCTCAAATAATGTGTATCATATGTACCTTGTTATGTATTTTTGTGATAAATGTTACGTGATTTTCTGATAGAGTTATGACAATTTATAATTAAAAAATAAAGTAATACTTTAAAAAAAAAAATTAATACTCCATCCGTCCTAAAATAATGGTTCCTTTTGAGGAATCTAACTTTTTTTGGTAGTACAATTATTGCATTTGAAAAAGTTGATTTTCCAAAATTATCCTTTTGATAGTACATTTTTTGAGAATATCAATGTCATAATTGTACTTTTTATATTATTTATTAATTTAAAAGAAAGGCAAAATAGGAAATTTATATTATTTTTGTACTTGATTTTTGAAGAGGGACTAATATTTTGGAACAATAAAAAATAGAATAAGAGACTAATATTTTGAGACGGAGAGATTATTATAAATTGTCATGGTAATATTACACTTGTTTTGAGTCACAAAAAGTGTATCATTATTAAAAAAATACATAATTTTATTTTTAAATTATAAATTATCGTAACTCTATCATAAAATTATATAATATTTACCATAAAAATATATAACATAAACCATAAAAGTACATAATAAGATGAGATTGTATTGTACACGGCTGTCCCGTTAACGAAGGATTTACGGACAGCCAATACAAAAGTGCCACATCAACCTAAATACTTTATTATTATCTGGTTAGTGGATCCCGTCTTCTCCCCAGTCATACCACTGCCAAACGCCTCTTCTTTTTCCCCGCAAGAACAATTATTCAAAAACCATATAACTGATGATAAGTTGAAGGAGATCTTGTACCGGAAACAAAGAGGGCATTCTATTTTTTCACTTTTTTACTAATATTGCAAACCCATCACAATCTACAAGCAACAATCAATCAGTAATTAGAAATTCTAAAAAATACAATTTGATTTGAAAGATCATAACTGATAATTGGTGAGAGAGAAAAGGCAGCAACAATCAATCAGTAATTAGAAATTCTAATATGACACATGTGTCCCATAGAATTTCCTATTGACAAAAATAAAAAAGCAAGTGAGATGAGCAACAAATGGATGATGCATGTTGATGTTTTTTTAATTGCAAATCATTCGACCCCCCTCCTATTTAATGCGATAAAAAGTTGGTCAGATTTGAGGACTGAAGTAAGGTACTCCCTCCGTCCCAAAATAATGGTTTTTTTTGGGGAATTTAACTTTTTTTGGTAGTACAATTATTTCATTTGAAAAAAGTTGATTTTCCAAAATTATCCTTTTGATAGTACATTTTTTGGGAATATCAATGTCATAATTGTACTTTTTGTATTGTTTATTAATTTAAAAGAAGGGCAAAATAGAAAATTTATATCATTTTTGTACTTGACTTTTGAAGAGGGACTAATATTTTGGGATCATGAAAAATGGAATAAGGGACTAATATTTTAAGACGGAGGGAATAGTTGTTTTTTTGATTTATGTAAGGTAGTTGTACAAGTAAACAGTAGTACTATATAATAACAAGATGCATAAATGTATAAGTAAACAGTAGTAATATTTTATAACAAGATGCATTAATTAAGTGTAGGGACATACATACTGAGACAAATGTATGACATAATCAATCTTGTTGTGTAGTGAGCAAATGCAAATGAAGACATATACAATAGATTCTATAAATATATGGTTTCACCCTCTCATTATATTTGAGCTCTCCCTCACATGTTCTCCTTCACTAGTTGCAAACGCTAACACATCTCCAACAATGGCTTCCTTTGGGAGATCTCTTGGTACTCTCTCTCTCTCTCTTGTGATCTTCTTGTTCTCAAATTCTTCTTGTAGTTCCTTCGTTTTAAGATTTTGGTACTACCTTATGCTATGTTTGGGTTATGAATTTATTTAGAGAAAGAAAAATGAAACAAATATGTTCACGAATCGATGATCCAAACATAAACTTAATATACCATGACCAAAATACGTATGTAGTGACATTAAGGATGTTATCCGTTTGCTACTTTCTTTGTTTATTATTATTTTTTTTAAAATTATCTAGAAGTTGCAATTCTTTGTCTGTAGTTTTTAGTTCTGCTTTTGTAGTTGATGTGGTTTAGCTTTTGTAGTCGATGTGGTTTAGCTTTTGTAGTCTTGTTTGTTTCTGTGTTCATTCATATTTTGCAAGGAAGTAACCATGATTTTTATTGACATATTCTCATCTCATGGATATGCAGGAGGTCTTTCTTGGATTTGTGATGGTGAACTTGATTTGAGTTCTTCTTGCATTCATAGAACAATCATTGATGCACTGAACCTTCTATTCCTCATTGCATTCTTTGTATTTTTTCTTGTATGTTATATAAGAAAGCAAAACATTAGTAGGTTCAGTAGAAGGAATTGGGTCACTATAGTTGTTTCTATCTGCACTGCTTTAGTTAGCATTTCATATCTTAGTGCTGGTTTATGGGATCTGACAACCCAAAATAGTGAGTTTAGTCACTGGGTGGAGCACTTTGTTAGGGGACTAGTTTGGATCTCTTTGACTTTTTCCTTGCTTGAACAAGGATCCAAATGGGTGAAAATTCTGGTTTCTGTTTGGTGGGTGTCGTTCTTTCTATTAAGTTCGGCTCTAAATATCGAGATTTTACTAAGAAAACTCGACTATGAAATCTTGGACATGGTAACGTGGCCTGTGAACTTGTTGCTTCTCTTCTGTGCTTTGAGGAATTTCAGTAACTCCTCTAGTCAACATGCCTCTGACAAGAGTTTATCAGAACATCTATTAGTGGCGCCTGAGAAAAACCATAGTAAAATAGGCCATGCTAGTTTTCTTAGCAAATTGACATTTTCTTGGATCAATGGTTTGCTTCGATTGGGCTACTCGAAGATTTTAGCTCTTGAAGACATTCCTTGTCTGGTCCATGAAGATGAATCGATTTTAGCCTATGAAAAGTTTTCTCAAGCATGGGACTTACTTCGAAGAGAGAGGAGCTCAAACAATACTAGGAACCTAGTTCTTTGGGCATTAGTAAACGTTTATATGAAAGGAATCTTGCTAGCAGGAATTTGTGCATTTCTTAGGGCATGTTCTGTGGTAGTAGCTCCCTTGCTACTCTATGCTTTTGTAAATTATTCGAATAGTGACACAGAAAGTATACACGAAGGTCTCTTCTTAGTGGGATGCTTAGTAGTTGTCAAGGTTGTTGAGTCTTTGTCTCAAAGGCATTTCTTTTTCATCTCAAGGAGGATTGGGATGAGGATGAGATCAGCTTTAATGGTGGCAGTTTATAAAAAACAGCTTAATCTGTCGAGTTTAGGAAGGAGAAGGCATTCAACCGGGGAGGTTGTGAATTACATTGTAGTTGATGCTTATCGAATGGGGGAATTTCCTATGTGGTTTCATGTGGGATGGTCATTTTCCGTGCAACTTTTTCTAGCGATAGGTGTCCTCTTTGGGATTGTAGGTATTGGCGCTCTTCCCGGTTTAGTCCCTCTCCTCATTTGTGGGCTTCTTAATGTGCCATTTGCAAAGTTGCTTCAAAAGTGTCAGACTGAATTTATGATAGCTCAAGACAAGCGACTTAGGTCCACTTCAGAGATCCTAAATAATATGAAAATCATCAAGTTACAGTCATGGGAGGACAAGTTCAAGGGGTTGATTGAATCCTACCGTGAAAACGAGTTTAAGTGGTTGTCAGAATCTCAGTATAAGAAGGCTTATGGCACTGCCTTGTATTGGATGTCTCCAACAATTATTTCTTCAGTCGTCTTCTTTGGATGTGCTCTTTCCAAGAGTGCCCCTTTAGATGCTGGGACTATTTTCACAGTTTTGGCAACGTTGCGAAGTATGTCAGAACCTGTTAGAATGATACCTGAGGCTCTTTCTGCAATAATCCAAGTCAAGGTCTCTTTTGATAGGATTGAGTCATTTTTGCTTGATGATGAACTCAAAAATGAGAAATTAGTGACATTTCCATCGCAGGATTCAAATAAGTGTATTATCATACAAGATGGCAATTTCAATTGGGATCCGGAATCACCGATCCTAACACTTAGAAATGTTAACTTGGAAGTAAGACGGGGTCAGAAAATTGCAGTTTGTGGACCAGTTGGTGCTGGGAAATCATCACTTTTATATGCCATACTCGGAGAAATACCACGAAGTTCAGGAAATGTGAGTTACAAAGCAGTTTATATTTACGAGTCATAAAATAATTTTGTGTTCACTAGCTAAACTTCTTTGTTACTTGCATCCAGGTGAGTGTATTTGGATCCATTGCTTATGTTTCTCAAGCTTCTTGGATTCAAAGTGGGACAATTCGTGATAACATACTCTATGGAAAGTCAATGGAGAAAACCAAATATGAAAAAGTTGTCAAAGCATGTGCTTTAGATAAGGACATAAGTAATTTTGAACATGGTGATCTCACAGAGATAGGTCAAAGAGGGCTTAACATGAGTGGAGGACAAAAACAAAGGATTCAACTTGCACGAGCTGTCTACAACGATGCTGATATTTATCTCCTCGATGACCCTTTTAGTGCAGTCGATGCACATACATCAGCAACTCTATTTAATGTACGGTTGAATGCATAGACATGTATACATTTATATATATGACATAGTTGATCTCTCATTGTTACCAACTTTTGAATGATGTAACTGCAGGACTGTGTTATGACTGCCCTAGAGAAGAAGACTGTCATTTTAGTGACTCATCAAGTGGAATTTCTCTCCCAAGTTAACAAAATTCTGGTAATGAAATACTTTGAATTGCCACTCCTGTATTTACATACTAGCTTTCAATTCATTGCATAGAATAAATTGTTTTTTTTCCTAGGTTATAGAAGGTGGAGAAGTTACTCAATCAGGAAGCTATAAGGAACTGTTGATGATGGGTACAACATTTGAACAGCTTGTGAATGCTCACAAAAGTTCAATTCCAGTCTTGGATCCTACAATTAATCAAAATAAAAGTGAAATTCAGTCACAATACATGGATAGAATGGAAGAGACTAGAGGGTCCTACCTTACTAAAGAAAATAGTGAGGGGGATATTTCTGTCAAAGGTCTGCCAGGAATACAACTGACAGAAGAAGAAGAGAAGGAAATTGGCAATGTTGGATGGAAGCCATTTTTGGATTACATCCTCGTCTCAAAGGGATCGTTGATGCTTTCTTCAGTAATAATTACTCAGATTGGTTTTGTTGCTCTTCAAGCTGTTTCAAGTTATTGGCTAGCTTTCGGCATTCAAATTCCTAAAATTAGTAGTGGCATCTTAATTGGAGTATACACTATAATTTCGACACTAAGTACCTTCTTTGTATATCTAAGGTCTTTATCCGCTGCTCTTCTAGGATTAAAAGCTTCCAAGGCTTTCTTTTCAGATTTCACTAATTCTATTTTCAATGCTCCTATGCTCTTCTTTGATTCCACCCCAGTTGGACGAATTTTGACCCGAGTAAGATTTTATTCTTCTTCAATCAATTCTAAAGTAACCATAGTATTTATGTATCGTAGTGAAGTGTAATGTATTGCATAGCTAGTTACTGATATGCACTTTTATATACATGCTTGTTATATGTAGGCTTCATCAGATTTATGTGTGGTGGATTTCGACATACCTTTCTCATTTGCCTTTGTGGTTGCTCCTTTAATTGAATCGGTAGCAATCATTGGCATTATGGCATCAGTCACGTGGCAAGTTCTCTTTGTAGCATTCTTTGCTACAGTGGCTTCAAAATATGTTCAGGTGAGTTTCATTTTCCAACTTAGTAGTAATATTTTTCTTATTTTCATTGATGAAAGGAAAATTTTAATTAAGAAAATTCTTTATTGACTCAAGGGATACTATCAAGCCTCTGCAAGGGAACTAATAAGAATCAATGGAACAACAAAAGCACCTGTCATGAATTATGCAGCCGAGACCTCACTTGGAGTGGTAACTATAAGAGCATTTAACATGGCAAACAGGTTCTTCCAAAACTACCTAAAGCTTGTAGACAATGATGCAAAACTTTTCTTTTCCTCCAATGCAACAATGGAGTGGTTAATTTTGAGAGTAGAAGCACTTCAAAATCTGACTTTATTCACTGCTGTTTTTCTCTTGGTTTTACTTCCCAAGGGCTATGTTGATCCAGGTATATCCATGGTTCAGTGGAATAATTCATTTATTGCTTAGAAATTTTCTTTTAGATTCTTAAAACATGTCTTTTTTGCAGGGCTTGTTGGACTTTCTCTTTCTTATACTTTGGCTTTGACAAGCACCCAAGTGTTCATGATTCGATGGTATAGCAGCTTGGCTAATTATATTATTTCAGTGGAACGAATCAAACAGTTCATGCACATACCTCCAGAGCCTCCAGCAATAGTGGAAGATAGAAGGCCACCATCTTCATGGCCTTCTAAAGGGAGGATAGACTTACAGGATCTAAGGGTAAGGGAACTTATTATTAATCCCACTTGTTTGTATAGATGATATTCAAGCAAATTCATCAAACACATGTTTCTTGATGGGCAAAGAGGTGAACTTGGTGAAACATTTTAGATGTGTTCCTTGATAAAGGGATTAAAATGTAGCGTTTGGGTCATTTAAACTCTTGAAGAATTTTTTTTTTTATTTGTGTTTGCACATTTAACTGTTGGTACTTAAATCTCATGATTAATTCCTTGGTTGGTTTCAGATAAGATACCGGCCAAATGCTCCACTAGTTCTCAAGGGGATCACTTGCACCTTCAGAGAAGGGACAAGAGTTGGGGTTGTTGGAAGGACCGGAAGTGGCAAAACTACCCTCATTAGTGCTTTGTTTCGGTTGGTAGACCCTGATAGTGGGAAAATTGTTGTAGATGGGCTGGACATTTGCTCCATTGGACTTAAAGATCTAAGGATGAAACTCAGCATTATCCCTCAGGAACCAACTCTTTTCAGGGGTAGTGTTCGAACAAACTTGGATCCTTTAGGCCTTTATTCTGATGAAGACATATGGAAGGTAAAGATAATCAATTTTACCACTTCATCACACTCCTCATAGTACATGATGAAGTGTCATGGCTGTTATCGATTTTCATAATATAAAAGCAATCTTTTGTTAGTATACATATGACAAATCAAATTAATTCTTGATTGCAGGCTCTAGAAAAGTGTCAACTTAAGACTACCATTAACAGTCTTCCAAGTTTGCTAGATTCTTCTGGTGAGTTGAACTCCGAAACATGGAAGTTGAAATGCATATTATGATGCAACTTAAAACATGAAAGATTTAGATAAATTCATTATTCAGTGAAGTTGCACTCCATAGTCCATACATAACCTTATATTTATAAACAAAGCATAAATTTTGTTCTTTCTTCTTGTTCCAACAGTGAGTGATGAAGGTGAAAATTGGAGCGTGGGGCAACGCCAACTCTTCTGTCTCGGAAGAGTCCTGCTAAGAAGAAACAAAATTCTAGTTTTGGATGAAGCAACGGCTTCAATTGATTCTACCACTGATGCCATTCTACAAAGGATAATTAGGGAAGAATTCTCAAATTGCACAGTGATAACTGTAGCTCATAGAGTTCCAACTGTCATAGACAGTGACATGGTCATGGTCCTTTCTTTTGGTATGCTTCTATTCCACCCAACTGCTTTTTGAGTATTATCCTCTTATTTTTAAATGTTTTGGTAAACACCCCTTGCTCCAATAAAAAAAGATCAATTATAATAATTTGAGGATAATTTTATGATACACTGTATGAAAAATTTTAGGTAAAACTTTCACTAAAGACCCAAAAAAAACAAAAAAAAAAAACTTAAAAAGTCTAAAAAAGTTGGCTTATTTTCGTCTTTTGAACACTTTGTAAAAAAGTTTTCCATTTTTTTTTTAATTTCTAGGATCGTTTAGTCCATATGAACCTTTTTTTTTAAAATTAAAAACAGACTTAAAGGTAAAAAGAATTAACTAAAGACAAAAATAAATCAATTTATAAGCTACAACTATTTGTGGTTTCATAATCAGGATGACATGAGTTTGAGTCTGTGGGGTGATCAAGGGGGCGACATGAATGCTAGGACATTGAATCCTTGTCATTAAACCTTAGGTGGGGCTGAGAGGTCAAACTATAACTCAAGGCTATATTAAAGGGGCACATATGAATCCCGTATGCGGATACCCCAATGCCGGGACCATCTAGGCACCTCTTGTCCACCTCCCTACTGGGCAGGGGCTCTTATGGTCATCTCTAGGGGCTTACAGGCTGATAAACTTCTTTTTTAATCGACAAAAGAAAGAAATTTTTAAAAAAATAAATAAAAATAAATCCTATTAATGTAAATGTGTATTGTTATGGTTTTGTAGGGAAGCTAGTGGAGTATGATGAGCCTTCAAAGCTTATGGAGATCAATTCCTCTTTCTCTAAGCTTGTAGCCGAATACTGGTCCAGTTGCAGTGGAAACTCTTTCTAGATTTAAGTTAAGGATCATTATTTATCATTCTTGGAAGTGTCAAATGCAACTATCACAACGGATTTGGTGTATAGTCATTACCAATGAGGTATTACTAGAACATGCTAGGACAAGAAAGAAAAATGTTTGTTGGAGTGGAAAGAATTAATGATTGGTTTGGAAACATTAATGTGCTTTGTATTAATTCTTAGAAACAATAATGAAGAAAAAAAAATAAGAATGGTCACATTTAGCGATTTTCGTAGCTTTTAGCACAAAGCATAAATTGAGACAAGGTTCAGCTCCTCTTCTAACCCATGCGTCACAAGTTCACTTTAATGATCTGATTTGTTTATTTTATAAGTATTTATGCATAGATCATCTATAAAAATAAAAAATAAATTAATCTAATAATCGCATTCACATTATTATTATTATTTTCATATTTGTCTTAAAAAAATGGAAGGACAAGCATAATTTTGAAAATAAATCATTCATATTTTAATACAATATATGATGAATTCACATGGTTGTGATTATGAAATCAATTATGATTTATTTTTTAATTTTTATTGTGCACACTGCCCATAACTCCAACTTTGAATTTCTTTTGCCTAAAACCCCAGGCGCTAAATTATTCAGTCCACAAGGACATCGTTTAAGTTTATAAAGACACTTCTTGTAATGGCTTGAGTCGAGACTTGACTTTTTTTTCTTTTTTTCATATAGTGGGGGTTGCATTAAAAAGTCTTTCTATCAAAATTTGACTAAGTTTGAAAATTTTCGAAGTGTGAAAATTGAAAATTTCAAAATTTACGATTTTGAATATAATTTTTTGCGGTAATTGTTCTTTATATATTAAATAGTCTACTTTGATTTTATGAGATTTTTCTACGAGATATTAGTCACTTCCCTTCAAATGTCAAGTTTAATATTGAGTAAACTACCAATAGGCCTTAATAGTTGGACTTAATTCCCATCAAATTCTATTGAAATAAGTCATAGTAAAATCGTAACTGAAAATAATTTTTGTGATGATTTTTTTACGTATGTCGCTAAAAATTGACGATTAGCGACTTTTTTTGTTACGATTTTTATAAATTATTGTTAAAACTTACAATTAGTGGTGTTTTTCTATGACGAAATTTTCAAACAGTCGCTGAAAGTTGAAAATTAATAACTTTTTTTGTGACGCTTTTTTTAACCTATCGCTAAAACTTATAATTAGTGACTTTTTTGTGACAAAATTTTCAAATTGTCATTGAAAATTAATAATTATTGACGTTTTTTTAATAGTGTTTGATGAAAAACGTCATTAACATAGGATCTATTGGACAATAGGTCTACTCATTATGACCTACACGTAACTTCCCCTAATATTTGTGGTCGGAAAATTATTTTGTACTAAAATTTAGAACCACTTTTTGATTTGTTTGGATTTTGATTTTCTAGTATTTTTCTTTGAATCTAAATGAATGATACTTTCTCATTTATATTGTAAACTTAAGTAAATGTCATTTACTTAGATGACTGCATATAAAAATAAAGTTGTTGTGCAGGAGTAGCCTTAGAATCTGAACCAATGTGTAACACTAAAAATTTCAGTTCATTCGAGTGCAAGAGTGAGCACTTGAATGGTCTTTCGAACCATCTAGTACTTTGGTCTACATCTGGGATTATGAGAGTTTGAATTTTACACTCGAGCACGGGTTTGTATGCTCGAGTGGTTTGTCCCTCATATAAGACTCCTGAGTTTTGTGATTTCCTTTTTTTCGACACTTACTTTTAAATTATTTCAATGAAGACCCTTGATTCCTTAATTAATTTCAATTTTAACCCCTAGAGTCGAAAACGCGCGTCAACCGAAAACTCGCAAACCCTAATCGATTCCGGGAACTCAGGATCATTTCCAAAACCCTAATAAATTAATTCCCTAATTATATTTGCCAAAACTTTAGGTTCTCGGTTCTCACTGCAATTCGCCATTTAATTCGAAACAAAGAAACTTTAACCGAATTGAATTTCTAAATCCTAATTAAATTAAATACTACATAAATTAAGGCCTCAGTCCACACATTTTTCTTGAATCACAAATTGACCCAAAGTTAGTACCATTATATATATATACATACATACTTGTACCAATTTCCCCAAATAAATAGGTTTAGATCATTTGTACACAAAATGAATCAATAAAATTCATCCAAGATCCTCATGATGGCCGGCTACACCTCCTCCCCCCCATTCGCCTCCGGGATGCACTAGGATACACTAAGGACCAAAATCCCTTAAATCTTGAAAGAAATGATGAACTTGGTACGAATATAGATTTTGATATATATATATATATGTATGTATATACTTGTAACTAGAAGACACTTAATTAGTTCTAAACCTAACTAAATCATAATTAAGATCCTAATCATCCCTCATTCCATTACATTCAAACTCAATTAAGGCACTATTCAATTGAATTGGAACCAAGGACAAAATAGTCTTTTTACCACTTTTATTACTTTTTCCTATAAATATGCCATCCATCTCCATTTGTTGAACACATATGCGCACTCACACACTACATACACGGATGAGAGAGAAAAAAGAGAGGAAGTGAGAGCTTGGTGGTGGAGAAGAAGAAAAGAGAGGAAAGAATTGTGCAAACATCCTATCTAGGCAACAAGTAAACCACAATACAACCATCTCTTCTATATATATATATATATATATATTTTTTTTTTCCCTTTCAAATACAACCATCTCTTCTATATATATATATATATATATATTTTCCTTTCAAATAGATATTCTTAGAGGTTCTAAACATTATTTTCAGACGTGTTTTAAAGGCGTTCTTGTGTTCAAAATGAAAAGAGTTGAGCCTAGTTCCATCCCTACTTGTGTTTTCTTTTAATAGGTGCAAAACTATCTTTTTCTACACCTGTCTCTCATAAATTCCAAATGCACACCTTCAATCTAAATTTCTGAGTTTAATATATATTATTTAGCATGTCTTCATCACAATAGAAGTGAAAAATTATCCATAGTTACCTTCTTTTATTACTTTTTCTTTTATTTCAAGCTTTGTGATCAAAGAATCAGTATTTATAGCCCACTTGCAAAGATTCTAAAAGAATGCAGAAAAATCTCCTTAACTTAATTTTATTGAAAAAGAGTGAGTAGTTTGAGAAAAAGCCTAATTTTCATAACAATCGACAAATCTGGATAGTATTGGAGTATTTCTTAATTAACTAAAAATATACGAAAATTATGACACTTCTGAAAAATGTTCTGAAAACTAGATAAAATTCTCTACATACCATGGGAAGCCCAGGTTTAGAAAAAATCTAAAAATGTCTCTTTAATTGCAATCTTTAAAGTACAACAAGTTTGGAAATTTACTTTTGTTGATGAAATTATGTTCTTAACTCCATGGATGTGCTTGTCATCACTTGTTCATGTCTTGGTATGATATTTGCATGTGTTGTGGTTATGTTCCTTATGCTTATGTAGAAAGTATTGTCTTGATAAGTTTGTTCTAACTTTAACTTAAAACTTCTAACTCAACGGGCAACTTAATTGGGGTGGTAACTGGGTTTTGATCATTTGAATAATATTGTGAGAAAATGATGTATTTGAATTGATTTGGTTGGTGGGACGTGTTCCCTATTTGAAGTAAAATCTTGTGCAAGTGATGTTTTAGAACCCTTGAACAGATCGGTTGTATTCGGACCCTAGGTGCTTAGTATAAGAAGGAAATGGGCAAGGCCCTTATTTTTTTACCGTATCTTTTGAGGTCCTCGGTTGGTGCCACGTGGTGTGTAACTGTTGGTAGCTATTCGGAGTAAGGTCTGCAAAGTAACAAAAGATGGGGCATACCAAATAATCCGAGTCCAATTATTGTGGTTGAAAGGATGTAATCTCTTTGAGAGATTTCTAGATTACTGACATCTAACTTGTAACCCTTTGTTATTAACTTAAATAACATGCTTCGTTTCCAGTTTGTTGTAATTGCAATTGTGTATTGGATTGGAAAAAGGGATGGGGTGTGTGTGCTTTTATTGGGTATTCCAAACTCATTGCGTTTCATACCATGTGTTGAAGAAACATACAGGGCTGATGAGGAGGTAGAGACATTTGAAGATTTTTGGCTATCTTAGAGGAAGTTAGAAGTTGTTTTGCTTATAAGTCCATCCATGCTGTTATTTATTTTATTTTATTTTATTTTTGATTTGTAATAGTGATGGAACTTGTTGTAATTAAAATTTGTAACTCTGTAATTATTATTTTCTTATATACACATACATATCTTTTTGTAATCCTATACCTATCTCCGCGTTACTTATGAGACCTTGTGCTAATACCTCTTAAGATTTGTCAAAAAGATAGCTTGTTATCTAAGGTAGTTGGACTTAGAAAGGAGGCTATATTGACTCCTCCGACCTTCTTGGGATCTTACTTGGTTATTGACTAAAGGACTCTTTAGTGACGTTACCTTGACCCTTAGGGTAAAATTTAGGGTGCCACAACTTGGTATTAGAGCCTAGGTTCAACCCTTAACCCGTGTAACCTGATTTACGACTCTAGTTACCTTTCCCCCATACACTAGTGTATTATTATAACACTATTATTTAATATTAACTTAAAAGAGACTAATGATAGATTTCCTTTCTTTAATGTAAGGCGACCGACAACTCCTTAAACGTTTGGTACCACGACCTCTGGGGTTATTACCACTTTCAAGGGAAACAACACATTGAACTTCTGGACCTGCAAGTTTATGACCTTGAGTATAAGAAAGCAGGGAAGAAAGGTTGATCGAAGAGGTAAGGAAGTTAGAGGGACTACATCTCTATCTCACCTCGGAACAAAAGAGAGCCATGATCCGATGACAACTCAAGAGTTAGTATCGGGCCCTTAAGCATGCACTTGAGCTTGAGAAGGATGACCAAAATTTCTGGAAATAACTTTTGAGGCACTTTAGAATGGGCTAGGATTTTGGCATATTCCACAAGATGAGAGCTGAGAGTTATTATTCAGAGCTAACACTCGAACTAGGATTCCGCCCAACTAGATTAATTGAGATTCCCTTTGATCTCTCCCCTGAAGTATCAAGAGCAGGAGACATGCCAAGATCACCATACTTCACACCGGGGCAAGCAGTTAGCTTATCCCAGGACAATGACCCAAAAAAGGGCACCGACCGGTCCAGAAATGACCAGGCTTAGATTTGTAATAAGGAATCCCTAGTTATATGTGCTTTAAACTTATGTGTCAATATATGTGCAGTGCTTTCTTATGTAACACTAAGAATAGT